ATATAACCCAAATATGTCAATAACCTGACTTTTTTGACAATTTTCAAAAGAAGCCTAAGATCTTAAAGTGACTATAATTGTAGTTATAAAATCGTATAGAATCACATTATAATTCCGATTCTATTAGCACTATGATCTGCTTTTACTACAATCTCAATCTTACTAAATTTTTTTCTTATTGTTTATTTCTAATATCTACGTGTATGTCTATAAATTTGACTATAAACTTAATAGCTTCAGCCTTGTGCAGAGGAGAATCTTCAGGAACATTGAGCTTTTTGGCCAGGGACATCCAACCAAGGGAAAAGCCCCTGTTGCATGCCTGCCTAACTTGCAGTTTGTAATCCTCAGCAACATCGGCCATTCCTTGGGCGTAAACTTTTTCATCGGCTTCAATAATTTCGGCGTTTTTAGTGGTCAAGGCCTGCTCAAGCTCTTTTTCGGCTTGAGCCTTTTTTACCTCGGCATCTTTCTTCTCGGCCTCGGCAACTTTTTTGATGGCTTCAGCAGACTCCGCTTTTTCTTCGGCCATCTGTTGGGCCTTAGTGGCAGCCTCGGCCTGATCTTCCAGCTTCTTCATCTTTATCAGAACAGCTTTGTTCTCCTTTTTGAGAGCAGAAACCTCCTTCTTCATGTCGGCCAACTTCTCCCTTATTTCGAAAGCTTGCATGGAGAAGGAGTGGGCATGTTGGATGGCCTGAAAGAACACAAGGCACAAATTGTTACAAACCTTTACAAATTAAGAGAGAAAACAAATTTCAACACAAAGGCACTTACTTGGACAGAGTGTTGCAGCATAAATGCGTAATTCTCATACTCACTCATCTTGGCGTTTCACTCAAGATCGCCTGGGAGGAGTAGAGCAGTACTTAAGGCCACGCCGACGTTTATGTCATCGGCACTGTCGCTGGCTAGGACTGGCTTATCTTCCAGAGTAATTTCTGGTCTCCAAGGGACTTTTGGTACTTTGGAAACCGAGGTCGTTGCAGACGATGACCTCGGCTTCTTTGATTGGGTGGGCCTCAGCAGACCTTTTTGTAGAAATAGAAGCAGTTCTTTTACTCTCAGCCAATTGTGAGATGGGCAGAGCGTCCTCAGCCTCAACCTCAGTAGGTTTGGCCTTGGGCTGAGCCTTTTTAATTCTCTTCGGCTTTGGTGGGGGCATGTTTGCGGCGGTTGAGCGTCAACATCCGTAGGAAGGTCGGTTAGGAGATCTTGGGCAATAGGCTTCGGGCGACCCATCTCGGCAGTTTTTACGAGTCTTCGCCGACATTTTCTTTCTGGTATTGGGATTAGGTATGGACCAGAAGTTGATGGTTGGTCGGCTGGATTAGAGGTTGACCCTTGGTCAGCCCGAGATGTTGATGCTGTTTGTAGAGTGGTAGCAGATGGAGGAGATAGGCTCTTCTTTTTTCTTTTTGGGACGTCGGGCAATGTGGATTTGTATGTCGGAATAAAATTCAGTAACAGGGGAGCCTTGCGCTTGTGGATTGGAAGAGCTAGGAGCTTCTTTAAATCTTTTCCTGGGAAGAAGGATTGGCGGAATTTTTTGGTGGCTGATGAAGATCTGCAGGACAAACAAACGGACATTAAAAACAGACAAAGTTTTGAAGACTTGGAAAAGAAACAACTAAGTATTGACGCCGGGCTCTTACCCTTGCCCTCTTTAAACTGTTCGAGGAAGAGGGTAGAGAAGAACATCTTCGTCTGGGCCAAATTCCCAACTTCCCGAAGCAATGACATAATCATCCCCGGCTCCCTTGTTGGAGTCTGGGAGGTCGGCTACAATTTTAAATTCAGTAGACCTCGGCTTGAGGTAGTAGACGTAACCTCTTTCCTTCAGGTTAAGGGGGCACATGGTATAACAGTATTGTACATCGGCAAGGGTGATCCTAACATTCTCTTGCCTAGCTAGGGCTATGATACCATTAATCACGCGATAGGAGTTAATGGTAAGTTGCATAGGGTGAGTTAATGGTAAGTTGCATAGGGTTCAACTTGTAAAAGTGAAGAATTTCGCGAAAAAGAATGTTAAGTGGGAGCCGGAGTCCGCACTCAGTAAAAGCTACTATAGGGAAGGGCATTGAATCATCAGTGGGCACGATAGTGTCATCATCTTCAGCTAGCCTCAGATGGACATCGGCAGGAATAGAAAACTCCCGCCTAAAGTACTCAAGTCTGGTCGGGGTATCGACCCTATGTCTCCACATGCCCATAACGTCGGCCTAAAATCAGAGGGCTAGATTTCAGAAAGAAGGTGTTGTCAAGGGGTTATTGGGACCTCGGCAAAACCCTAGGTAAGGACTGATAAGGCTTGTTTCAGTTTTTTCCTAAAAATTGAAGGCTCTACAAACAAAACCCAAACCTAAATCTATGAAGGCAAAGATTGAAAGCAAGAATTAAAAGCAGAGATCTGGAAAGGAAAAACAGAAAACAAAAAAACAAAGAACGACGTTTCAAAATCAAAGAATAGAGGTATGGTTCTTAAAAGAAAAGAAAATACAGAAGTAAAAGGTCAAGAACAGTGACAAGAAAAGTGTTGAAAACAGTGCAGGTGTTCAAGATATGGGTAAAATCATGAATAGACACATCCAAATAGATAGTTTAGTAAATCAAAGGTTTGAAACAGAGCAATAATGGTAGTACGTAAACGAAAGCACATAAAAGAAATTGGGAATAAGAGGAGTGAAGGCTTACCAAAACAAAAGATGCCAGAATAAGAGTCGCCGAGGTAAGGCAGCGGTTGCAGACACGACGGAATGACGAAAGCTTCGTTGGAATGGAGGAATGAAGACGGTTGCAAAGCTTCGAGCAAGATCAATGGCGGATTTGAGAAAGTTTAGAGAGAGAGAAAGCCAGAAAGCCAAATACAAAAGTAAAGAAGTGAAGATGAAAAGAAAAGTTTTGTAAAAAAACTCGAAACGGCGACAAAAACACGGTATTTATTGTGCCTGGAGGAACGTGTGCGTCAGACGGCGCAGACAGACGAAAGTCGGCTTACAGGCGCGTCGCGGACACGGGCCAATAAGGATAAAACGCGTGAATAAAACGGCTGAAAAGTGATGTATGACAGCCTATACGTATAAAGGGATTCATTTGAAGTTCTTATTCCCCGATGAAGACATGTAGGCCTAACGTGAATGATCTCGGCCAAGGAGCTCTTACACCGAGGTAATAGAAGAAAATACAGATATAGGTTCCATCACCTCAGAATGCCGAGGTAATAGAACCTAGGGGGCAGTTGTGGGGATATATTTTCTGAGTACCAACACGTGGCATGGTGACGCCGACGTGTCAGCCGAGGTGCCACGTGTCGTGGTAGCTATGCCGAGGTTATCTTGGCGATGCTGAGGTTGCCTCCGAAGATATTGGAATCCGAGATAAGCGGATAAGGGTTAAGAGTCCTGGAGAAAAGAAAAGACTTTACTGAGATAAGGATAAAGCTCTAAGGGAGTTTATCTTTATCTCTTGAGGAATCCAAAGTGAGTACTAAATTGGAGTCCATAGAAGTCAGACTTCTAGTGGGACTTGGTCGTCGGAGTGCCCCTGGGTGGAAGAGCCACCGCTGGAGCCTTTTTCTTTCTGTTACAGGTTATTCCTCCGTTTGGGAAGTGGGTTGGCTTTTTGGCTTTTTGACTTTTTTGGCTATTTTAGCCTGGGCTTAAAAGCTTGGTTTGGGAAGGGCTTTTTGGTTTTTTTGAGTTTTTTTGTGAGAGAAGAATGTAATGATTATGGGTTGGATGAGATGTTTTGTTTGTTATGGCTAAAATAGCCTATTTTGTTTTTTGTGGCTAAAATAGCCAAAAAAGCCTGCAAACCCACTTGCCAAACACAGGCTAAAGCCATCTATTCTGCCGGTGCTCTCCAACTGATTACTAGGCAAGCAGTGTGGTCGGAAAATCACCCACACACTAACTAATTATTCCTCAAACAGGTTATTCTACTTAAATTCACATTATGCAGATTTAACACTAACCTGATTTATTTTATATTCATATTATCGGGTTATATCATATACACGTTTTTGTTAAAAAATGATAAATTATAATCTGCTAACTTTGTGTTTGGTTAGAGTTGTGTTATCATATCGTATCAAAAAATTTAATTCTTAACTCACATGGAAATATTAGCCATTACCACACAATAAAATAATAATAATTACATCTATGGCGCCCATAATATATTTTGATTTTTTTTTGTTAGTCACTCAAATTTTTCATGTGTTCGTTTCTCCTCCAATTTTTAGTCCAGATATACCATTGGACTTGCTCTGATTTGAAAACTGACATTTTTATTTTATTAAACTGGCCAAACCCACGGTCAAACCAATTAATCGATCAAATTAATTAAACTTCAGACCAACGCCACTCTAATACAATCATTGCAGCCATCACGACCACCTTTATTCCCACCCTACCATGACACCATTCCACTACCACCACTGTCGCCACTCTATCACACCAATATCACCATTCTACCACCCCCACCATCTTGAACCTCTTTCTAATCAAAATACAATCACAACTACATTTGGAATCACTACTACATTTGGCCTGTTTGGTACAGCTTAATTTCAGCTTATTTCAGCTTTCAGCTTAATTTAAGCTATTTTAATGTGTTTGGTTTAGCTTGACAATACAGTTTATAGCTTTTTGTAAGTCAGAAATCAACTTATTCTTTGAGTGGAGCAGGAAAAACTTAATTTATAAGTCAGAAATCAGCTTATGTTCATAGTTATAATGTATAAGCTGTTAAGGTATAAACTATAAGCACTTTCTCACAGCTCTACCAAACAGGACCATTGTCACCACCACCATGTTGCTACCAATATATATATATATATATGTATATATATTATCCATGTTGCTACCAACTTAACACCACAATATAAATAGTGAAATAAAATAAAAAATAAAAATAAATGCCAAACAACATCTTCTGGTAAATACCAAACAGTTTGATTAAATTCGTGACTTAAATTTCTGTACATACCAAATAGATTTTTAAATTAATAATAATAATAATAATAATAATAATAATAATAAAGTAATCAGTTTCAGTACATAATTTTAGATTTCAACTATTGATTTTCAGTTTTTATCAGGTAACAAACAAACTTATACAAGGAGCTACAACATATTAACATTATTGGGGGGATGTTTAGTCCAGTGCAGACTTCTTAGTCTTCTTTAAGCCCAATATGATGAGAATTATACTGAGATAATCAAAATGGTAAGATGACTTGAGGAGCTGCATTTTGTAATCATTCCATGGAGGAAATCTAAACCAAAACTCTGTAAGTAAACTTCTTCTGAAGACTGCCTTCTCGTGTGTGAACGCATCGAAAGAGAATTTTCCATGATACCTTCCGAAACCACTTTCACCGACTCCTCCAAATGGGAGAGTATCTGCTGCATACTGTACGTAGTGCAAAACATAAGACAACACAAATAGCCAAAATAATGAGCAAAACATAAGACGCTTATAACTAAGCTAACATACTACTTTAGTGCTTTCATATTATATGATCTGATGAATATTTGAAAACAACCCTACGTGATCCGCTTTTACAAGACTAGCAGTTGTGCACACATATGATGCATATGCAAAAATGGATGACGGTTAAATTGGTTCATCAGAAAAGCGTGACAAAACTTGTGTTCAGACCAAACTGGGTCTACACATTATATAACAGTATAGATAGCATAGATATATATATATATATATATATATATTTTTTATAAAAAAAAGAACTTTCTGTTTAATGCAGAAGATAGGAAAAGTGAAAGAGTTTAGTTATATTTATTTATTCAAATAATAAGTTGTTCAAATTAATTGATTTCAGTTTCAGTCATAATTTATGTAATATAGATTCCATTGAGTGAAGTTTGTATTACATATGGAATATGTATGCCATTTGTATATGTAAAGTGTGGAGTGTTTATAGCCAAATCTGTCTATGTAACATCTATATGTATATAATAAAACAGATCAGGTTTGAAAAATATCCTATGTGGCATAGTTGAGGGTTAATGACATACTTGTATAATCGCATCATTGAATGTCACACTTCCTGATGATGTCTCAAATACGAGCCTTCTCCCGAGTGCTTCATTTTTGGTGAAGGCATAGATAGTAAGCGGCTTAGGCCTCGACTTTATAAATTCAATACTATCTTCAATTTTCTGCAACTGCATGGCAAAAGCAAAAACAAAGAAACAAAATTTAGACCATAAACAAATTTTGTAAAAATAGAATTGTAAGAAAGATATTATACAGTCCTGCATAAATTGCTCACAGTAATTATCGGAAGCAATGGTCCAAAGATTTCTTCACCCATGATTGCAGTCTCAAGTGGGGGATCAACCAATATTGTTGGCTCTATGAACCTGCATGGACGTATATGACATGCACAAATTTATTAGATCTGCATATTATCTCAGTATAATGAAAAAAATTATGAAAGTGATTTAAAAATATTAAAAATCCTAAAAACACTTTAAACAAGGAGATAATGTAGACAGTTAATTCTTTTTGGGCTGTCCGAAAACTTTGTATACAAATAATGAAACCCACAGATCAATCTTTAAATTTAAAACAAACGGGGAGAAAACTTGTTTAGTCCAAAAATGATATATCTACTGCAAACAGATTTTGCACTAATGCCCTAATAAGAAGTCCAAGAATAAGATTGAGTGGTAAGCTAACAAATAACATCACTTACAAGTTATCTTCGTCGAGTGAACCACCATGGACAACAGAAGCTTTAACCCTAGGGTCATCTAATAGTGTTTTCAATCTCAAGAAGTGGTGCTTGTTGATTATCCTTGCAATACTGTTCGACTCTTTTGGGTTATCTCCAAACATTTTCTTGATCAAGGCCTTCATTTGTTCAACCTGAACAGACAATTTATAAATATCAAGTTGAAAATACTGCTGCTTATATGGAGAATCAGCAAAATTTTACACTTGGAATTATACATACCAAAGTGGATGTGAATGTCTTTTCTGTAAGGATATAATCAATTCCTATGCATACTTGACCAGCACAGGTCCCAAATTTACCCACAAGAACTCGTTTTATCACCACCTAGGAATAAATTGGTAGAAAAGTTGTTCAAAAAGCAACTACTAGGTAGATGGACAATAGATAGGCAAAGGCATATGGATCATTTAGTCCAATCAAGTAATTTTGAAAGGCTTTGCACAAATTTAAGAAAAGCATTGCATGACATTCCAAAATATTTATGCAATTACTTCTTTATCCCAACAACCAGAGAGTGAATCAACTACTGCAGGGCACTTTCCACCCAACTCCATTGTGACAGGCGTTAGATGCTTTGCAGCTGCTGACATAACAATTCGCCCCACTCTTGTACTACCTGAATAGTTAGTTTGAATGTATGAAAAAGAGGTTAAAAAATTATAATAGAAAATAAAAGAAGAAGAAGAAGAAGAGCAAGTAACAAACACTCAAAAGTATGCAATATTATTTGGTAAAACAAAAGAAAGGGTGAGAGCAAGTTGAATAGAAGAATAGACCTGTAAAGAAAATCTTGTCCCATTTCTGTTGCAAGAGTTGGTCACCAACAGAAGGGCTACCTTGAATAACCTTCACAGCTTTGTTGTCTAGGTAAGAGTGGATGGTCTTAGCTAGAATTGAAGAACACGCAGGAGCTAGCTCTGAAGGTTTTAGAACCACTACGTTTCCTGCAGCTATTGCTCCAATTAAAGGTTCCAATGATAGTCCTGCATATATAACAAGAGCACCAGCTTATTCATGATAATAGAATAATCCCATATATTATGTATTTATCTATTTAATAGGAGCACATTCATGCATGTATGTACAAATGTGTATACCCCTTTTTGCAGAAAGGCGATTGATCCACTATTCTGGTCATTTTTAGGCTCTCGGGTAGTAAATGATGGAGGGGTAGTTCTTTGGTTCAAGTCCTTCCATAGAAATGTATATAATCAGGTGGTTAATAAGATCATGGTTGCCATGAAACATTGTCTAGGAACTTGTGGATTGACTACTGGAGTTGAGGGATCACCAAAGTTTCTTAGGCCACCCCACTTGAGGTGGCTCCATTTTGATCAGTCTTAGACATGAGAGTCTGTACATGAAAACCAAGATTGACCAAGTCATGTGGGTACCTTGTAAGGCGTATCACACCTACTCAGCACAACTCCTGAGAGTGAGTTGGCCCTCATGGTCTAACTCTCCTATAAAAGGAGGTCTTCCTCTCATATGCAACATGCAAGCTTCTCTATATGTAGAGAGCTGCTACATATTAAAGGCTCATCCTCCATGACCAGCCCCTCGAAACCCACCTCTCTCTCTCTCTCTCACTCATGTTACCTCATCTCTCTTCCTCTCCATTTCTAATGGTCTCGTGCCATCTCAGTGCCTACCATGATTAACAATAGAATCCAGTCTGTCCACAGCAACCAAGACCACCCACAAAAAGAATACTCAGATAAGATGGTAGCTTATTAATTGAATAAGTTGATTATATATAGACTTGGTAGATTTTATGCATACAGTGAGACAATGACTCAATGCACTTTTCCTTCAACCTGACATAGCTAGCATAGAAACCTAGCAACTGCATGCTCTCAAAGAGTTATTCATGTGCCAAGGAGGTGGAGTATTATTTAAAAAATTACATAGAAGGACAACAATTCTTCGGAAACCAAAACTAAAAGGGTGAGATCGGAATAAGGGATTTGAGAGATAGATTAATATCGTTGCCTTACCAAAGGGAAAATTCCAAGATGACATAACAAGGACAAGACCAAGAGGCTCAGGAACCAATTCTGCTGTTGAAGGGAATGCAACTACAGGCAACTTAGCCTGCCAAGCAATAACAAACATTACGGTTGACAAATCATCAGAATTTCCTACATCTGATTCAATGAAAATGAAAAGAGAGAAAAAAAAGCCCTTTCTCCTTTCAGAGAAATCTTTCTAGACACCCACGTGTATATATAACTATGTCAGTACTCCATGCGAAGGCCACAGGGGTGAAGGTTTTATACTGTGAATATCTATTTGACATGCAAGTAAAACTCCATATGGAAATTCATGAACTTGGCTACATAAGAGTGTATTTGTTCTTTAAAAAGCTTACACATGTTTGCTTTAATGTCTCTACACAAGTGACTTGTTGAGATTATTCATCGGTAGAATAACAAAAATAACATGTACTAGTTTATGTCGACTACTAATGCCTAGTTAGTAATCCCGTCACTAGAAACATTTAAGAATAAAGTATCGAGAAGTATAGGCTTCCCAATCTTAAGAATTAAGAACATATGTTATCAACTTTAATTCTACGAACTTATCGTGAAAACAACATAGAAAGTAAAAATGATAAATCAATTTGCCCTTTAATTTATTAAATGATAAAAGATTGTTTTAAAAAATATCCCTAAACATCTCCTAAATTGGATTTTAGGGTATGCCACTAACAATACCAAGTTTTCAACCACATATGAGGTACAACCACAAAGGAGGAACGTTAATCTAAGTAAATAGAGACCAAGTTTTATACATGTTTCTACCAAACACAGGCTTAGGGGAGGGATGTCTACTTCTCTGGCTCCCTTACCTTTATATAAAGATTTAGGGAGTCATGAAACTCGCTTGAGTAAGATATGTCATATACATCACACCTATCAATATTAAACCCTTCTTTTATATATTATCTCATGTGTTATTCATACATTTATTACATACATCCATATCTTCTTACATATTGGTCATCTGGGGTCCTTTGAGATTCAATGAGGCCATTGGTTCATGGTTTTTTCAAAACACATTGGTATTGATATCAATGTTGTTGCTGAACTTTGCTCTGTTTGAACAAGTGTTTAAAAAAGGGGTATTTTGGTTTTCGATCTGCAAACTTAGATGTGAACTACTAAGTGGTGATCGTTCTCTTATTTAATTCAGACTGCCAATCACCTTGGCTCCAACATTTGGTTTGTAATTGCAAGGGATTGCTGGATCGTGACTAGGATGTGAAGATATAACACAACTTCAAGGAACTAAGCATACTGTGTAGCCAATGAATTGGTGAAACATGTATTGACATGCTTTTGTTCTTTATTTTTCAAGTCCTGAATTTCGTGTTAGTTGTGTGGAATAGAAGTTGGGATGGTTATATCCAGGGGGGATGTTCAATAATTTTTACTAGGTATCAAATGTTGCCTCAAGAAATGTACAAAAAATAAAAACAAACAAATTAAGAGCAATTCCGATGAATAAAAAACATAGAAAAACTTACCCTTTTGCTTGACATCCATTGCTTTAAGCATCCCAAAGCATAATTTACAGATTTTATCAGTGTTCCTATCTGTAGGAATCCACATCATTTAATGAGAAAACCAATAATAGAAATAATAGTAATAATTATTGGACATCACTAAATCCACAACTTTGTTTAATGCTTCCACAGACCTCATCGGTAGAAATCATATTATATCATATATCATGTAGTAATGTTTAAATTGTAAAATTGTACGCATGCTTTTAAATTTTGATGTAAAATTGTGTAAACTCCACCTCAAATCGAACTACTAACCCAAGGTAGAACACCATTAAATGGAGACACCTGCCCTTTTACTCAGATTTCGGTAAAAAAAACAACATAATAATCTAAAAAGATTGTATTATCAATTCAGCTGTAAATTCAATTCAATCCAAAATTCTGATAATTTTTTTTTTTTAAAAAAATAACAATAATAAATCATTCAAATATTTGAAATTTTTTTATTTTATTTTTCCAAATTCAGAAGAAACAAAAAAAATTTCTTCACAAGATCCCAAGCTTCATATGTAGCGCATGCAAACCACTATTTTTAATTTCTAACATGTTCTTATTTCTAAAATCATCCAACGCCCAACGCCCTCATTTTGTACAGGTAAAACAATAAATTACACCAAGCCCTGCAGTCTCTGTATGTAAGAACTTAAAAGCTCAAGCACATATATGAACCAAGAACAATCATTTCTTACTCAACATCCCATGTTGATGAGATTTAAACTTTTAATCACTGATCTACTCTATGAGATTCAAATCCATGACTCTTACTCATAGGCCTAGTGAATTGGGAGAACCCAGTTGGTTAACCTTCTACCAGTTTGTGGGTGCAAATACAATGTGTTTGCAATTTTAAATCTAATTTTTTTGGGCTTTTTTTTTTTCTTGAGAAAATTGGGCAATTTGATGAATGAGGAAGATGGGTCCGAATTTCAAAACTATTGGCAATTATTTGCTAGAGCAGTTAACAATATGGGTTTTCTTGTAAAAAAATAAAGCTTGAAAAAACTTCAAAATTATTTTGTGTTGTGGTATCTTGTGGTCACTTCGTTTTTAATGAAAACTATATCTAATTTGCTCTACTATTGTGAATTTCAATGGGGATTCCAATAGAAATCCTTCCGTCTCGTTTGTGATGGATCAGCAACCTCAGAGCAGATCGAAGGCTATCAATCTGATGGCCAGTTCAGCGTAACAACAAAGAGCCTTGAAAGCATCTCACGTGAGGGACCCTAATGTTTCTCAAATTGACTAGCTAGAGGCTTGAGAATAGAATGGGGAGTCTAGGAGGAAAAGACAGAAAGAGAGCACTAGCATATATATTTTTCATTTCCTACTCACACGAGCCCATATCCTTGCTTTTCTATCAATATCTATTTCTGATCTTCCTCTCCAATCTGATATTATGGTGCCAGTATAGACCGAAATTCTGTTATGGTCCAATTTTGATCGATAATAAATACCAGGGCATTGCAATATTTGATTGATCAAAATTTTGTATATTCCATTTACTATAAAAGTTCCCAAAGAATTCATTTGGGCTGTGTTTCACATACGTTTCACGCACCTTTTCTCTTTTCCTATCCAATTCTCTCCCCAAATCAATAAACCGAACACAGCATAGAGGAGTGTTTATTGTCCTTCCCTCCACTATCATTATTGCAGCGAATTTCTTATAAAAATTCCGTAAGCATATCATATTTTCACAATAGAATAGATGTGTGAAAAAAAAAAAATATACATATATATAGCATATACCTCATCTCTGTAGGACTCAACAGGATGTTTGCCAATGTCCTGTTTGAGAGCCTGGAAAATGTCATCTTCTCTTTCCTGAAGTAGATTAAGCAAAGCCCTAAGCTGTGACCTCCTCCAAGATGCTTCTTTAGTCTTTCCAGACCTGTAAGTCTCCCTCAGCTCCTCCAATTCCCTCTCCAAATCCAAACCACCACTCATAGTCAGGTCTTCCATTTTTCCCTAAGAAATTTTTAAGGAATTAGGGCCTGATGAATTTGAATTCTCTCTCTATTACCATTTATGCAGATTCTTCTTCAACTGCCACTCTTGTTGTCTAGCTGGGTTTCATTAATGGTAGCAGATGAAACCCAACTGTGATGGGGCTTTAATGGTACCGTCGTATTGTCATGTCTATTTTGATTGATTGAACAAGAAGGTTGTTGAATGGTCACATTGGTGTTGAAAAAGTGGGTTTTTTTTTTTTTTTTTTTTCTTCTTCTTCTTTTCACCATGGTAGGGGTTTGAGATTGTTTCTTCCAACTTTTCAGGATAATAAATCTCAACCTGTCATCTCAACTTCAATTAGAGAATAGATCAAACTCACACCCACGAACGAGGGCAGAAAAATGCAATCAACGATGGTAGAAACTAACTAGCAGGTTCCATCACCATCGCTGTTACGATCCCCAAACAAAAAGAGGATTGCCCTTAAAAAAATATATTGTTTTGCATATCAAACTATCACAAATTAATTTAATCTTATTTGATTTCACATCAATTTTACGTAACCTGTTCCAGCCAGAGAGAGATTCTTTGTCTTCGGCGATGTTCCGTCATCACAAGTGACGATCTAGACGTTTTATGTTAAGACAGCCATGATCGTGGGCCATAATTTTTGTGTCCTAAATATGATTCGAAATTGTTAAAACGACGTCGTTTTGAGTATAAAATAATTTTAAAATTGTCAAAACGATATTGTTTTGACAATTTTAAGTTATTTAAACCATAAAAATTGCGGCTCTCAAACATTTTCCATGTTAAGAATAAAGGAATTTTTTTTTTTATTCCGATAGACTTACTTAGCTTTGTGTATATATTAATAAAATATTATTTTAATAATAATTATATTTTAAAGGAGAATTATTATAATCAACATCAATTTTATGTTGTGTTTAGTCGGATGATTTAGGAAAGGATTTAAAAAAAAAATAAAAAAATATATAAAATTAAATAAAATATAAATATATTTTATTTATATTTTATCTTTTTCTTTCTCTTTTTATTTTTAAATTTCCCAATTAAACAGGACATTAATCCATTTTCCATTTCGATTTTGAATGTTTTGTCTCTTATCCCAATTCCAAGCGGCTTTGAATGATTGTTTTTGATAGAGCAAAATAAAAAAGCAGATGATGACATTAATCAATTGTACGACTCATTGCATTAAAACCCTGTCTAAACTAAAGGAATATCATCCACAAAATTATGTACAAAGAATAAATAGTCAAAGAAATGCAAATGTAACATCAAATTTATTTGAGGTAAGTAGCAGTCAATTTACAGGTACTAGAGGATCCCTATGCATTTATTTTTAACAAAACATCTCTCTCACACAGTTAAACATATCCTGGTTTTTTATTAGGGTTTGGATTTTTGTTCTATTCATTTAGGGTGTATTTGTTTGGACGAACTGAATAAGGGGATTGTAATTTATCCGACTATTAACTCTGAAATACATTATTTCGGGACTATTTGGTTGGACTAAATTTGTATCATATGTTTGTTTAGTCATGGGATTAGATGTCTGGATTGGACTATTTTTAGTTATCTAATGTTTGTTTAGAATATTATGGAGAAGGATAAATACTCAAATGACTATTTTATCCTTTTTAATTATTTATTAAGTAATAGCAATATTAAATATAGCTTTAATATTTTAATTATTTTTAGCTAGATTAAATAAAAATTTGTTTTATTTTATTTTTTGCACAATATTTTAATTATTTTAATTTATTATTTTCAATTAAATTAAATTTATTATTTTCAATTAAATTGAATTTATAATTTATAATATTTATTTTTTATTTAATATATAATTTTAAATTAACAACAATAAAAAATAAATTTATTTAATATATAAATTAAATTTTCAACAACACTAAAAAAATTTAATTTATAAGGCCATAATTTTTAATTTATTATTTTTTATTAAAATAATTAAATTTTTTTATTTAATATATAATTTTAAATTAACAACACTAAAAAAATAATTTAATTTAACATGTAAATTTAAGGCCATAATTTATAATTTATTATTTTTAATTAAATTTAATTTATAATTCATAATTAAATTTTTTTATTTAATATATAATTTTAAATTAACAACACTAAAAAAATAATTTATAAATGCTCAAAAGACTATTTTATCCTTTTCTAATTGTTTGCTAAGTAATAGCATAGATGGTAAAATGGACATTTCACAAAATAATCCCATTGGATACCAATCCCATGGTTTCTATCCCACCTCCCCATGGGATAGGATAGTCCCATATTTGTGGGACTAATAGTCCGGAACAAAAAAAATGAAACAAACAATGGACTATTAGTCTGGTGGAACTAATAGTCCAATCCCACTCCCTAGTCCTTCAAAACAAACACACCCAATGTTCTGAATGGTAAAAATAGAGAAAGAAACAAAATAAAATATGTTACCAAAGCTGAAATTATCAATTGTAAGGATGAGCTTGGTCCGATCCGACTAAAGTTCCTTCACAATGGTTTGGGCACCGCCGTAATCGATTCATCATCAACACTTTGGTTTCCCCCCAATTTCTTTATCAAATTCTTTTTCGAAATATTGTACCCAGACAACAAGAGAATGGTGGTGAATCGTCTCACCGATTTTATCTCTATGGTGTCAATGAAACTTTTTCATTGCAAACCACCCTGACTCTCCCCAAATATAGCTCTGTAAACCACCGGACTCTCTGACATCGACCATTCATAGCTGCTGATACTATTGTTATCAAAGAGAATGCTTATTTACAAAATCAAAAAATAAAAAATACTCTTCTTCAACAATGCAATGAAGGATCTTCAATGGAGTTGTGTCTTCAATGGAGGGTTGAGGTGGTGGGTCTTCACTGTGTAGAACCTCAATTGGGGTCAACCGTTGGTCTACAATTTTGAATAGGTGTGTGGACAGAGGGTTGAGATAGTTTGTGTACAAGGATACAAGTTAAAGCGTATAATTGAAATATTTGGTGTGTGAAATGAGAATTATAACTAATAATTAAAATATTAAACGTGTACACTGAAAAATAATGTGTACAGGAGGGAGATCAAATAGATTTTTACGCTTAGTGCCGGTGGTTGTAATAATTAAAATTTGTATCCTCTTAGTGCCGGTGGTTGTATGCTTAAGGTAGACTTTCCATTTTTGGGTTGAAGTCCCATATCACATTTGAGAGCATATTTGATCTTATCAAACCGTGTTTTTTTTTTTCTTCTTTTTTTTTTTTTTTTTTTTTTTTTTTTTTTTTTTTTTTTTTTTTTTGTGACTTTTTTGACTTTTTTGTAGTTTGTATTTAGTTTTTTCATTTTTGTTGGAGTCCCCTTTTGGCAACACCTAAAAAAGCGATATATATATATATATATTTGTCTTTTGTGATTTTTTTTTAAAATTATATCAATTTTTTTTGGGAGTTTTTTTGATAAATTCATTTTCTAAGAGCTTTATTCCATCCAACCCATATTCTTTTTGACTATTCCATTAGGTCCAATTTGAGATAAGAATACCAAAATACCCTTTTCATCTACTTATGTTCCATTTAGTTCACATTATTTTCTTATATTTCAATAAGTCCTATGGGTGACATAATTACCAAAATACCCTTAATGTGAATGTTCACACCGTCAACGTAAATGTTCATATCGTCAATGTGTAGGGGCCCGGCCCATGTCGATCCTCGTGGGTGCCCGGAAAAATTCGAGTCGGGCCGGGCCGCTTGGGGGCTTATTACTCAAATGTGCTGTAAGGTAAGATTCAAAATGATTGGACGTGTTTTAAAGTTCCTTTTATTCTTATGATGATAAAGAATATATTACTTTGTGGTTTAGATTACTGTGAAATCCTATCGTTTGTGGCATCTGACTCTGTTGTCACTACTTCTTTGCTATCTCGTACTCTGAAAATCAAGAATTTTCTGGTGGCTATTGTGTGAATTACCCAAATTAAACCTGAAATTTCCCAATTTTTGGAGTCATTCTTGCAGTTTTTTGGTCAGGAATGAGGATATGAATTTGTTCTTTTCTCTGAATGTGCATTGTTTGGCTTCTCCTATCAATGTTAATGTTAACATGTCAATATGAATTTCACATTGTTACGGGTCGGGCCAAGCCTGCCTCGGGCTGCGATCGGGCTTCGGGCCGCTCACGGGCTATGGGCCAATTTTACACTCCTATGGCCCGGCCCGGCCCGTTGACAATGTGAATATTCACATTGACATGTTAACATTCACATTGATAAAAGTGTAACATTAGCCCGTGCCCCGTGGCTGCCCGAAACACGCCCACGACCCGTGGGCGCCCCGAGGTGGGCCCGACCCGGCCTGTTGACAATGTGAATATTCACATTGACATGTTAGCATTCACATTGATAAAAGTGTAAAATTGACTCGCGTCCCATGGGCGGCCCGGGGTGGCCCGGGTTTGGGTCCGGGCCTACCCCAGGCCGCGGGCGAGCTTCGGGCAGCGGACAAATTTTACACTCCTATCAATGTTAATGTTAACATGTCAATGTTAATATTCACATTGTCACGGGTCGGGCCAAGCCCGCCTCGGGCTGCGGTCTGGCTTCGGGCCGCCCACGGGCCGCGGGCTAATTTTACACTTCTAGCAATGTGAATGTTAACAGGTCAATGTGAATATTCACATTGCCAACGGACCGGGCCCGCCCTGGCCCGAGGTCGGGCTTCGGGCTGCCCACGGGTCACGGGCCAATTGTACACTCTTATCAATGTGAATGTTAACATGTCAATATGAATATTTACATTGTCAACATGCTGGGCCGGGCCTGCCCCGGGCCGCCCATGGGCCGTGGACGGGTTTCGGGCAGCCACGGGGTATGGACTAATTTTACACTCCTATCAATGTGCATGTTAACATGTCAATGTGAATATTCACATTGTCACGAGTTAGGCCAAGCCCGCCTCGGGCTGCGGTCGGACTTCGCGCCGCCCACGGGCTGCGGGTCAATTTTACACTCTTATCAATGTGAATGTTAACATGTCAATGTGAATATTCACATTGTCAACGGGTCGGGCCGGGCCCGCCCCAGGCAGCAGGCGGGCTTTTGGCCGTCCATGAGCCGCGGGCCAATTTTATACTCTTATCAATGTGAATGTTAACATGTCAATGTGAACATTCACATTGTCAACAGGCTGGGCCGGGCCTGCCCACGGGCCGTAGGCGGGTTTCGGGCAGCTACGAGGCGCGGGCTAATTTTATACTCCTATCAATGTGAATATTCACATTGTCAACGGGCCGGGCCGGGCCCTCCCCGGGCTGCGGGCGGGCTTTTGGCCACCCATGGGCCGCGGCCCAATTTTATACTCTTATCAATGTGAATGTTAACATGTCAATGTGAATATTCACATTGTCAACGGGCCGGACCGGGCCCGCCCCGGGCCGCCCATGGGTCCCGGGCGGGTTTCGCGCCGCCACGGGATGGGGGCCAATTTTACACTCCTATTAATGTGAATTTTAACATGTCAATGTGAATATTCACATTGTCAACGGGCCGGGCCCGCCCTGGCTCGCGGGCGGGTTTCGGGCGACCCACGGGCTAATTTACATTCCTACAAATGTGAATTTTAAAATATGAATGTTCACATCATTAAATTGCTAATCGTTGAAAAATATTTATAAAGGTATCAAAATTAAATATAAGGGCATAAGTGTCCAAGAAAATAGTGTAAATTAAGAAAATAGACTTTATGGAATAATACTATACATACATGGGATTAAATGGGTTAAAAAATTCCTTCATGGACTTCTTGGGTTAAAACACTTCTAAATTAGACTTATCAATAAAAATCTCATTTTTTTTTTACTTTTCTACTATGTTTTGTGGAGAGAAATCTAAATAGTACATTTTTTGTTGGAGTTAAAAAAAAAAAAATTGAAAAAGACAAAATAAGTCAAAAAAAGTCCACCATTTTTTTGCCTTTTCAAACTTTTTTTTATTTTCTTAAAAAAAAAAATTATAATTTCCCGGTTTGTTTTGCCAAGCTGAATTTTAAACCTTAAAACTTTTTGAAAAAATTTGAAAAAAATTTATTAAAGACGAAAATAAATATTAAAAAAAAAAAGTTTGAAAAAATTTGAAAAAAATTTATTAAAGACGAAAATAAATATTAAAAAAAAAAAGCAAAAAATAAGCAAACTCCAAAACAATAATTGCATGTTTTTGTGGTTCTTAAAAAAATATATCAATTTTCCTTCACCGTCAATTGCAATTTATAATAAAATAGAAGTTACTAATGTAGTGCCAAAATTTTATTTAAATTTCATTTTACCGTTAAATTATCCCAAAATATCAATTAAATTCCTGAATAAAATAAAGTTTTGGGTCTAATTAATATGTTAGAAATAATTTAATAATAGAATAAAACTTCAAACGAAACTTTATGGCACATAGGTAACTTTCGTTTAATTATAAATGGTAACTAACTGTAGGGTAAAAAATAATTCTTACCACTTGAATAATAATATAATATTAATTTTATTATTATTTGCTATTATTTTTATCTATTTAAATTAGGCGTACCAACCGCTTATTTTTAGCATGCAGGGGACCTAAAGAAGGAGATCAACAGTAAATAGCATTAGAGTTTCATTTTGCCACAGCTTATAAATGTTTTTATTTTATTTTGTTTTTAATCCCAAAATTTTTCTAAGAAAATTAAAATAAATATAGAAAAAACAAAACCAAATTATATATATATTCTATATATTTTTTCATTTTTAATAAATTGTTTTATAATTTGTTCATATTTTTAAGAGAAAATGTTAAAAAAATAAATTTAATTTCTTTTGAAATTCATTAAAAACTAGTTGACACAAGGTGACAATAATATGGGATTCATATGAAGCCGCCCAACGTACAAGTAAATATTAACAGCGATACGATACATATAAAAAAAACTCGTATAAATGAAAAAGTTATTCATGAAAGTTGAGAAGCTTCGGCTTGAAATGAGAAAAATTAGTAAAAAGTTAACTTTTTAATTTTTTTAAGTTTATTTTGTCTTTTTATGAGTAAATTATGTGAGAGGTGATGTGACTCACAATTAGTAAAAAGCTAGAAGCTGATTTTTTATCGACTTTCCAAAAAAGCACTGTACATAAAATTGGAATACCAAAAAGGAAAAAGAAAAAGTTAGAAGTTATTCAAGATAAATATCAATCTTACAATACAAGGGTGCTCATATATGTTACAATTCAGTGTACTAGAAGAACAAAAAGCAAGCTTAAGATTTAAATCAGTGGGACAATGAAGAAACTATTGTACTAGAGATAAATTTTTATATGATACAACTTTGATATACAGTGAGAACTTGCACCATACACATGGAAGATTTGCATCATGCACACAGTAAAATTACACCACCATGAAAATGCAAATAATCTTTAACTATCCCACTAATTTGATATTTCCTCATTTATTTATATCAACCCTAGCTTCAATGGCTCCATCAAACTCAACCCTAAAAATATCTAAAAAAAATTAAAGATCCAGACTACACTTACATAAAAATTCAAGTTATAACAAAACCACCGACATTTTTTTTTTCTTCATATTTTAGACAAATAAAGATATCATAAAAGAACAGCCAAACAAGGTATGCCTCACATCATTTTACAACTTCCAACCACCTTGATGCTTATTTATTAGTTAGGCAGATAGTACATATAATGGATAGATTATCATTAAAAATTGGGGACCAAAACTTGAAGAAAAAATAAACTAGATTATCATCAAAATTGAAGTATAGTATCTTTCTCACCTTTCCACACATCATTGGTTAGTTTCGTGCAAAGCTTGTGTCACTCATAATGAGAGAGAGAGAGAGAGAGAGAGAGGGAGAACAAATAGATTTTTACCAATAAACAGCAGCTCACATATCTCCCCTTCAGGACTGATAATCAGAAGTTTTCACACTGTGGGTTGGTTTCGGTAACTTCTAGCCGAAAATGAAGCTCCCGTACGTGGACAAATATCGATCCCAGCTGATGTTTTAGATGTCAAAAACATTGTATCGATTCATGTAGCTATTATTGACAATTTGTTATCCCGCAATGTGAGATTTGCTTGTGTTTTTGTTGTTGAAACCCTGCCTGAAAATAAATCAACAAAGGTCATATAAGTAGGACAATTTTCTAGATGAATATCGAAAAAATTATATAACCGTGTGAATGTGACACTGGATATTCTAGAATGGGAGTCACCTAAAATGGGAAAATAAGAAAAGATAACAGTATAACCACCAAAAAAAAAGACAACAATTAAACCATTCTTGGAGTTAACAACAATTAAACAATAAATTATGTGCCAAAGGCACCCTTGCAAGTTGCAACTCTTTTCTATGTCCAAACAGACAGTGTCGGCCCCACCCCTCTTGTGGCTGTCAGTCCCACCCCATGCCAGTAATTCAGGCGGTAGCATGGAGGTGTTCCAATTTTTTTTTTTTAATTTTGGAAATCTGATATGCTTCTTTAACATGCAGATCAAACAAGGTTCCACTGTGTTACAAAAGATAACATATTGTTTTATGATGATGATGATGATGATGATGGTGATGATGATGACAAACTTTGAATCAAAAAATTATTGCTATATTTCTATATCTATTTCTCCATCTTATTCCTTCCATTTTAAATCATGTAATATATGCTATTATCATGCCAATAGAAAAACAAGCATGATCAAGAAAAAGACCATCAGTGACTTGTGGCAATATTAGCTCTTCATACCGACCGTCATCTTTTGTCATTTTTCTTCTGCTGCGCCACAAGAGACGAATAGGTGTCCCAGAAAACCCAGCATCTGATCGCAGTTGCTTCTCCATATAACGTCTGTATGTCTCTGGGAAAAGTTTTGCATCATTCACAAAGAAAACAAACGTGGGTGGCCTAATAGCTGCCTGCAAAAAAGGATTTGAGCCCTGTAAACCTCCATTATTGGTACAAGGAAGAACAATATTTGATTACTTGCAAAATGGGCTTCTCTTGAATTTTCCATGCCTTCAGAAAACAGTAGATGGAAGAAAAATTTGTTCTACATGATTGATATTATAGTAATGCACTAGAAAAAAAGGATTACAATTATGAAACCACTGAAAGAAAAATACAGATTTATCAAAGATGTGCCACATAAAAACTTTTACAATCAAAGCTTCAAAATCTATAGTACCATATAGTACCTGAGTGCAGTAATAAACACGTCCTCTCTTGCCACCTCGGGTCCTTGGAGGTGATTTAAAAGCTACAGCCTCTCGTACCACTTGATTTATTATTGAAGTTGTTAGCCGTCTTGATCTCTCCTTTTCAACAATACTAGCAGCAACAAGGATCCTGCACCCAAATAGTTTTTAAAAAAAATTTTGAAAATAAAATTGTTAGTAAAAAGGACCAAGAAGATCAAGTACTACAGATAAAGTCAAGAATCTAGTCTTTTTAACTGGGACTTGCCACTCCAAGATGCTCAAGAACATTGTAAGAAACTCAAGCCTAAACAATCCATCGTTGAATCTTGCATTGAAACAATGTGATGGAGATAACCCATTCAATCCTTTTTATTTTGCTTTTGTCAACTTATCTACTTTATTTTTCTTTATCAGAAGATTGATCATAGATTATTTTATTAAGACCCGTTGGACTGATTGGATGGATGTTGCTATAAATGGTGGAAAGTTCAAAGTACAAAGTCAGAATCAAAAGATTTATCATTGCATGAAGATCAAAGTATATGAGCGTGAAAGTAATAAAGATTTTACATGTCCAACTTTCAAAACTTGAGAACAAATTCTTTCAAGCAAGAGAGAGATGCAGCTAGGTTTTAGGCAATTTTTTTAAGAACTTGTTTTTGTTGCTTTATTCAAGGCTATTGTCAAGTCAAAATCTAGTCAAAGACCCTTAATAGCCAATAAATAAGGGTTTTAGAATGTAGCAACACAACCACAACACTATTCTCATTAACTTTCATCCCATGAAAATATCTTCTTCCAGCTACTATGGGTAATGGATTAGTTTTTTACCCATATCATGAGGTAAGGATTTCAACACGATCGTGGAGTTTTATGGATAATTCAACTTAACTGTAAATGATACTGCATAAAAAAGATACTCTCAGATATAAACATACTTCTCAACGCTATGCCCAGCTATTGCAGTTGAGTAAACAATAGGTGCCCATCCAAGAATGCGGAGCTTATCCCTGACGTCTTGCTCATAATATGTCGCAGTTTGTTGATTTTTATTTGGTATAGTATCCCACTTGTTTACTACAATTAGGCAACCCTTACCCTCTCTTTCTATCCTTTCAGCAATCCTCCAATCCTAGAAAATTCACACACAACAATGAAACTTAACTACAGTTGTTGGTAAAATAATATTAAAAAAAAAGAAGCAGCAGGAGAAGGAGAAGCCAGAAACTCATTGGATTAACAATTATTGCACATTGACACCATACATCAGACAAATCATTGTCATTTCATTTTTGCATCTGACAGGAGTTGCTCAAGCCTTGGGCTTTTAGTAACTTTAAATTTTATAGAGTTACTTCCAATTCTAAAATAACTTTGTTATATTAAAATCATAGTTGTTACAATCGTACAATTCACGATTATATTCATATGATTTGACACAAGTTTCAACAAGAACGATTCAAATCATTTTGTTGAATTGGAAATAGAGTGAATCGTACAATTCACTACGATTCATTGCGATTTAGTACTATTTTTATTTTTGTTTACATAACGCATGAAACAACGACATTTTTCACCAAACTATGAAGGTATAGAGAAGAGATTAATTAATTATATTGATATACATAATTTTATATGTATATACATATGTATAATTTAGTGATATTGATAATTTACTTTATTTAAAATATTGTATGTATTTTTATATGTATATAAATATATAGAATTATATATTATATTAAATAAAATGAATATAACAATTCATGATTTGACAACAATGATTAAAATCTTATTTCCAGAAAACTTATTATAAATAAAATACACAACCCTGTTATGACTCATCATGACAAGATCAAATTGCAGTTGAGGGGTTATATTTCACAGTTTCAGTTTTCACAGAGAGAGAGAGAGATTTTCCTTCAGCTCCAGCCTCCAGCCCACTCCCACCCTCTTCTACCCTCATAATCCAAACACTTTAAGTGAGCCCCATTTTCAAGAACCATTCTATCCACATAAAAGCTGAAGACAAATTACCTGTTCTGTGATACAGGCCATGGCTTCAATGACAAGTGCTACAACATCAGAACGACGAACGGCACGAAATGCTCGGTTAACAGATAAAGCCTCTGTTGTGCTACCTGATGAAGCTACTACAGCCCTTCTTCTAATTCCAGCAGTATCAATAAGCCGGAATTTCTGCCAAAACAAGGGGGGAAATATAAAACTCAAGTATAAAATCATGTTTTCATTGCAGTCAATGAACTTCTGAGTAGTAGCACTTCGCATTTTCAAACTTATCAAACCTGGCCATCTGGTGCAGTAAATTCGGTGTCAATAGCATCACGAGTGGTACCACTGATTGGACTGACAATTGTTCTGTCCTCTCCAACTAAAGCATTCAAAATGCTACTTTTACCAACATTTGGTCGTCCAACAATAGCAATTGCAGGAACATAGGTTTCTTCATCAAGATTCCCTGGAGCCTATGAATAAACACAATGAATATAAGAACGGTTTATTGTGGATTCGCTGGAATAAAGAAAAATTAGTAAAGAAGATATACATACTTATCAAGACTATTAGAAAAATCAAGTGTATTATCATGAAACAACAAACTCTGAAAAAATTGCAAATGTATGACCTGTGACAAGTTATGTTACACGGACTCAGGTACGGGTATCGGGTGCGGGTGCGTATCTAGGGGTCGGACACTTTAAAATTAAAAATTAAGGATACGTGAATATGTATCCAAATTAGGATATGGGTACAGGGATACGTTAAATAGTTTAGTCAATGAACTTCTGAGTAGTAGCACTTCGCATTTTCAAACTTATCAAACCTGGCCATCTGGTGCAGTAAATTCGGTGTCAATAGCATCACGAGTGGTACCACTGATTGGACTGACAATTGTTCTGTCCTCTCCAACTAAAGCATTCAAAATGCTACTTTTACCAACATTTGGTCGTCCAACAATAGCAATTGCAGGAACATAGGTTTCTTCATCAAGATTCCCTGGAGCCTATGAATAAACACAATGAATATAACAACGGTTTATTGTGGATTCGCTGGAATAAAAAAAAATTAGTAAAGAAGATATACATACTTATCAAGACTATTAGAAAAATCAAGTGTATTATCATGAAACAACAAACTCTGAAAAATTGCAAATGTATGACCTGTGACAAGCAAGAGTTCCATGCTAACCCAAAATCCTAGCCATAATAAGTAAACAAGTTGATGGAACCCATTTCTGAAACTTCTATGAAAACTCTTTCATATTTAACAGGAACATTAAAAATAAAGGTCATACCCAGTGCACAAGGTTCCTAATTACAACAGGGGCTGAATGAATTAATAGTTAGGCAATATCCCCCCACTTGGTTTGTGAAGAAGCTAAATTATCAATTATGGATGCTTTTTAAATAGGATGAGACTCAAAGCAAAAATGATTAAGCAAACATTAAACTAGAGGCAATAAACTTAAAAGTTAGATTTACAGCTACTACAAGACACAGCCACTTAAGTTGACCAAATGTATTGGGGAACACAAAATATGCCTACATCTCCACATAACTGAAATGCAGCTTGGTCATTGGTATGATCTAATGAAACCACTTGCATGTATCAAATATCTCAATAGGGCCACATTGATACTTCACCTCAATTTCATATTATTCCAGAAGGCAACAGATTTTAATAAAACATATAGAATCAAAACAATTGATCATAGTGCTAGCCTCATAATATAGATCAGAATGCCAAAAAGTACAATTCATTAAATAAAGAAATGCTTTTAATTCATGAAAATAAAAGCTGATTTTTGGAAACAAAATACCTCGATTTTTCTCAGCCCCGAACAAACAAGATCGAGAAGCACTCCCGTTCCAGTCCCCGAAAGAGCAGATACAGGAAGTGGTTGTAACCTAGGTGATCAACCAAAAAGAAATTTTGAGGTGCAGCTTTTTATATTACAAATACCCTTCAACAGCTACTATTCTTATGACCAACAAGTTGCAACAAATAATAAACACCCTCTAGCTACGTATATTAGCGAATAAGAAAACCCGCACAACATCCATGATATTACTTCCCACACAGAAAATTCACCATGCGAATAAGATGATTTGACCATTTAAAAAACGTGTGTGGAATAGACCAAAATATTTATAATTCATATATTTCTTATGTCATATATATAAATATTTCATTCAAAGATAATAAAAATTGCAACATAAACACTAACTCCTAAAGTTAAAAAGGGGAAGGATTAATAGATATAATTCTACATTAGTTTTCTTCTATCATAGCCTAGACACACATAGAACACATTACAAGTTTGAACAAAATAACTTGGGTGTCCCTTAAGCATTTGAAGCATGTCTGGGTCTTAAAAATAAAAATGTTGGTTCTGTCTGACATGGACACAGCATTTTTTTAAAAGTTCTTGTGTGGCTAAGAGCCACATTAGCATGACCTCACCTATACGATCAACAAGATTAATATAGTCTAACACTGTAAGTTTAAATATATCATATTCTCATGATATTACATAAACTATTTGTAATTGTTTAGAAATTAGTTCACAAACTTTGATTGAAGAGCACAAACTTTCAATAAAAGAACAAATGGAAACAACTAACCCCAATGACCAGAATTCTGATGCTTGCATAATTCCTTTACGTGGAGATTCACACTTGTTTACAGCAAGAATGATACACTTGTGTGAGAAGTTCTTCCGCAGCCAGTCTGCTATTTCCACATCAGCTGCTGTTAGACCTGCCTGAAAAAATTTATTGTCTTTGCACCATTCAAATGAACTTGCTCATCCAACTATGGAAACAAAAACTTGGCAACATAAAAGGGAAAATGCAGACTCCAGATGTGTAAGTTGCAGTTCACGTAAGAAAAAGAAAAAAGAAGGAACAAAAAAAAAGAGATTATTGCTTGAATTCAGTTAGGGGTTCAAAGACAGTGGGGCCTCTAATTAATCAAAGAGGCTATAGGAGTGGCAAATACCCACACCACCCCCTTTCAAAGGGGAGCACACTGAATCCCATACTTTGCATTTAACTTGAATAAAAGCTATATGCTTGCTAAGATGTCGATACTTCTTAGTGAACTGGCAACAAATACAGATTCTCTTGTTATCATATGGCTAGTGTCACTTTCTGGCAAAAGATGTTAATAATCTTAATGCAAGTTTACTACAAGTAAGAAAAAAGAGTCCAAGGGAATCACATGTGAAAAAAGAGTTCACAAACCAAAGTTCAGTTGAGCACATTTGAAGGGACATTAAACCCCTACTATTTCATGGTTTTTGAACATTACAGCCACCATATCATGCGATGGGGCTGTAAACTGAGGTTGGAAGTCTGGATTGAGGCTATTCTAAAAAAACAAGTAGACATGCATGAAGCTCAATTTAACTAATATTCTACTAGCCATGAAAACTCCCACTCCCACAGTGTAAACATTAAATCTCTTCTACTAATTACTCTACACTGAATAAGTTGTTGGCAACCAATAAAAAAACAAAATATTAAATCTCTTCGCCAAAAAAAAAAAAACATTGCCTTTCAAGTCCAGACAACCCAAATAAGTAATGTAATATACCTGGCCATCAACAAGAAATATAATGACTGAAGACTCCTCCACAGCTACAGCAGCTTGTCTCTCAATCATTGAGGGCATCCTGGCAACAGCTGCCTCCCTGGTGGCAAGTGGAATCCCCTCCATTCCAATGGTTGTCGTGATGGCCAATTCTTCCATAACCTCAGCCTGAGACTTGGAGATTGATAGAACACCGCCCGTATCAACAACCATAAATTCATATTCCCCCCAAAAGGATCTACCGTACAAGCGATCCCTGGTGACCCCAGGTTCATCCACCACAATTGCTTTGTTACCCTGCGAAGTATCAATAAAATACATAGAAGAAAATAACAGAATTTATATTGATTTTTTTTTTTTTTTCACAACATGAACTTTGAAAATAATAATTTCCAAGTTCCAATTTTTTATTTTTTTTTTTGGGCTAAACGTAGAAAATTAAATGTTTTCATAGAAAACAAAAAAGTGCAATGTTGATAATCAAATACCCCAACCAGCCGATTAAATAATGCTGATTTACCAACATTTGGCCTTCCAACAATGGCAACCTTTGGAAGAAGACAATCAGGGATCTGCAGATGGAATTTTAAAGCTCAAGTAAGTCACCACCACACATGCAAAGAATTTTATTTTCACCTTTTTGAATGCTAAGCAGGTCCTGAAGTTACAGTATTTAAAAGAAGATCAGTTTACTTGCATCAAATAAATCCTAATAACCAACTTTCAGCATATAATGATGTGTTCAGAAATATACAGATGAACACACTTTACCAAAAAAGAGAGGTAAAGTGGGACAAGGGGTTTGATAAATGATTCATTTGAATGGTTAGAAAAAGCCCAATTTAGTTGAATCATTTGAACAGTTGAATGAATATTTCAATGGTGTTTGAGATATATAGACGCTAAATTAATTGATTTTGCATATATCACTGAAATTGCATCCATTGCGGTTCTGCATAAACTAAATTTTTTATGGAGTTAAGAGATATATAGATGCTAAATTAATTGATTCAGCATATAATAATGGTATTGCATCCATTGAGGTACTACATAAACTCCATCCTTTTAATAACACAATATCCCTTTCACTTCAGCTTACTGTTTGACAAATATCCATGCAAAAGTTCCTTGTGTGCCATTTAACTTTCGTTGCTTTTCACAATTTTCATATAAGGTGTTGATTCCTCTAAATTTTGAAACTTCAACATGATGGTTGATGTTGATATTTCTTTCACTGTTTACAATAGAACTTCATTATGCAGTCAGCATTGATATATTTTCCACTTTTCACAATTACCATTCACCCTATTTTAGTGTACTTGTGTGCACATTTAAAATCATTTTCACCTGTACTGTATTTACTATTACCAAGAATCCATTATCAAAGTAAGAAAATAAACCACTAATATACAATGATCCTAGAAAAGACGCTTACTGACATTTCTAATGGTACTCTTACACCTCAGCTGCCTTCCACGAGTTTCCTTCTGAATATTTGTTTCATCTTCTGAAATCATACAATAATGAAAATGCAGAAAATCAATAGAGCTGGACAACAATTAAGAGAACTCCAAAAGAAGAAAGGCTTGTTTAACTGAAAAGCAGCCTATTTCTATTTACAAATAACATCCTATGACTAATAATAGGGTGTTTGGGAACACCTAAAAAAGTCACCGCTTTTTCCGATTTTTTCTTTTTGTCTTTAGTGACTTTTTTTTTTTTTTTAATTATGTCAATTTTTTTTACTTTTTTGTTCCGTGTACAAGATGAATCTACCAAAGTAAATTTTTTTTTGAAAAAATTCAATAAAAAATTGAAATAAGCCAAAAAAGTACACTATGTTTTTCTTTATTTGTCTTTTTTGTAATTTAAAAAAAAAAATTTCAGTTCGTCTTATTCGAGTTGAATCTAGAAATCTAAACCTTTTTATTTATTTATTTTTATTTTAAAAAAAGTACAAGAAACGAAAATAAGCCCAAGAAAAGAAAAATGTTTGGGGGCCCTAATTCTGTGGCTCAAATGGCCAAAACGACGTCGTTTTGGCCATTTTGATGTTGTTTTGTACTCAAAACGACGTCGTTTTGGCCATTTGAGCCACATTTGAGCCACAGAATTTGGGCCATCTACCATTGCTCCCAAGAAAAAGTCACTAAGCAAATCCCAAATCACATTAATTTAGTGCAGAGCATGGTACTAAAAAGGGAGTCAGGAGCCTCTCCTTGCAAGCTTGTGCTTGCGTCCGTCCTTGTAGGCCTTCGGGTCTACTTTTAAGCCCAATTTTGATAATCCGAACCGTTTATATTTTGTGATTTATTCAGTATATCATACCTGTAAAAAATCAAGTTGATCGGATATCAGAAAGTATGTGTTTGAAAAATTGAACTAAACACTATTTTTTAAAGAATTTAATAAACAGTTTTCCGAACATATGCTTTCTAATATCCGATCAACTTGATTTTTTACAGGTATGATATACTGAATAAATTATAAAATATGAACGGTTCGGATTATCAAAATTGGGCCTAAAAGTAGACCCGAAGGCCTGCAAGGACGGGCGCAAGCACCGAAGCTGCAAGGAGAGGATCCTCACTCCCCTCGCCTCAAATCCTAAATCCAAACGCAGCCTAAGGTCACCATGGAAAACGAAACAGAAAATTGAACAGAAAGAGAAAAAGAGAAAGAACTATCATATTACAAAATTAAACTGCAACACAATCTTTATTATAAGATAATAATTCAACAGTATTGACATAATTCATCATACAATTCCTATTATTCAGAATAAACATGCCATTATCGCGTCAATAATTCCAGCCAGAGAATCTCTAGAAATTTAACAGACATACACCGATGTACATAACTATGCACACTATATTATACTTGTTTTTATCAGTATTACATTATTATTCATAACTTAAGACGTACCGATTCTCAATTCGCGAGACAAAGAAAGGGAGTACTCTCGAACGGCCTCTCGTGCTTCTTCTTCGAGCGCTTCCACATCGATTGCATAAGTTCCATCGTCAACCTCCTCCTCCTCATCACCACAGCCGGAGGAGTCTTCAATTTCTTCAGCGGCGTCGTCATGTGCGCCAGCGAGTTCACCGGCGGATGGCTGAGAAACGCGGCGAAGAAGATTGAGGAGGCGGTGGTGGTTGGCGGTACCGACAGAAAGGGAATGGGAGTGGTTGAAGAGAGAGAAGCGAGGAGGAGGTGGAGAGAGAAAGGAGGTAGGAGCCCTGGATATGGGTGAGAGGAGAGAGAGAGTTTTAGAGAGAGAAGATGTGCAGAGGTCGAGAGAGGACATTTTTGATATGAGAGAGAGTGCTGCTATTCTTTCTGGAGATTGGGATGCGATTTTGGCGGGTTTGTTGATAGAGAAAAGATAGGGATGATGAAAAATTTTTCATCAAACTGATCATGAAAAATTTATGACTCTTGGATTACCTTAATTAGTGTGTGATATTTTAGTTTAAGTGTAATTCAAGGGTCATAAATTTTTTATGATCATTTTCATGAAAGTTTTATCATGATACGTAGCATTGCTCTTGTTGATAATGGAGGGTTTATCCTGTTAACTTGTCGTGTGGGAGGAGTTCATTTGGGCTCTCTTGAATTTCTGAGTCATAAAAAGGTAGAACAAGTTATTTGAGTTATAACAAATAAGATATCACATTTAATCTATAATTATTATATTTTTTTTTTTATAAAAAAAATTAAAAAAGTCAAAAAGTTAAAAAATTCTTCCCAAACTAAGCTTTTGAGTCCAAGTTCAAATAGCCAAAAGGGTCAAAAAGTCAAAAAGCCAACTCACTTCCCAAACGGAAGCTAAGTGACATGTTTGGTTTTGTTTCGAGGGTTTTTAGAAGAGTGTGTTAGCCACTGTTTGGCAACTTAGGTTTTGGGTTTTTTTTGACTATTTTAGTTATAAAAGATAAAATGAGTTATTTTAATCACAAAAAATAAAACAATCACATCGAATCCATAATTATTACATTTTTTTTCTCACAAAAAAAACAAAAAAAAAAATCCAAAAACCAAAAACCAAAAAATCCTTCATAAACTAAACTTTTTAGGCCAGACTAAAATAGTTAAAAAAACCAAAAAATCAACCCACTTCCCAAACCAACCCTTATTCATTTCGTTTGATTTCAGTTTTCATAAATTTTTTAATAAGTTTTATTTTTTCGTTTTTTTGTTTTGTTTTGTTTTGTTTTATTTTATTTTATTTTAAATTTTTACTAATCTTTCTAAATATTTTAAGTAAAATTTTAAATTTTTTTTAGATACATTTAACATAAATATATTTAAAAAATCACTAAAGACTAAAAATATAAATAAAAAAAAATGAAAATTTAGTAAATTTTTCTAATTTTTTGGTATTTATTAGTTTTTTTTAAAAAAAATTCATAAATATTTTAATATTTAGATACGTGTATCTAAAAAAATTTAAAAAATTGCTTAAAATTTTAAAAATATTCACTAAAAATAAAAAAAATACGAAAAATAAAAAACTCAATTTTTAAAAAACTAAAACCAAACACATTAGTACTCCATTAATTATTTTAAATTTTTTATTTTTTAGTTTTTTATTACAATAATAATCTTAAATGAAATTATAAAAAATGATATTAATAATTTTGGGATATCCTATTTCACAATTAAGCTCACACACCAATTATATCATAAGTTAGGGTTTATGAGAGCACCTACCTCCATAATCACCTATTCATCTTTTTCAAATCTCACTTTCAAAACCTACTTACTCTCAAAACCTTGAAAACTCTCTGGCGGCAATATTCTAACAGTAATGGTAGCAACTATTTGATTACCTACATTTCTCATGCAATGACAATGAGTGAAATTTTTTCAACAATCACAACTCTATGAGACGAGATGAGTACAATAATAAAAACTCAGAGGAGATTCATAACTTTGATGGTATTCTTAGCTCATAGGAGATTGGCTTTGTAAGAGTAAGTTTCTTGAAAAAAATGACAAAAATAATAAAAACTATTTGTCATTTTTCCAGGATCGAGCTTTTGAACATATGACCGAAATTCGAGAATACAAGTACGAACATTGTTCATTTGTTCGGAAAAATGTAATTGAACATTTCTTATTTGTTTAGGAACAGATAACAGAAACTCGTGGAGATCGCAACATTCACAAAAGGGGAATTTTGAATCAACAACAAAAAATCTTATATTTATTTTTCTCAGGTAATGAACAAGTATGTAAAGATTAAGTAGTAATCACGTTCGTGGATTTTGTTAGGATTTTGGGAAGAGAAACTTTTTGGGGTGTGGGGGTGTCCATTCAATTGAATGTGTAAAATATTTGCACAAGGATAATTTTTGAGGGAATAAAAGAAATTTTAAGGGTTTTACAATTTATAAGTAGAGGTCCAATAGCTACTGTTGTATCCCTTGTGGGAGATTGTCTCGGGTGTTTTTCGATAATTTGAACCATTCATATTGTAGGGTTCGTTGAGTACATCATTCATACAAAAAAATCAAGTTGATTGGATATCTGTAGTTCTATAATCAAAGCACATTTGTTATAAAAATTAACGATTAATATAACTTTCATAAATTTTTAAAAACAATTAAGACCTAATCATAGGATTATGAATATTTGATTAACTTTATTTTTTACATGAATAATATTCTGAATGAACCCTACAATATGAACAGTTCAAATCATCAAAAAAATACCAATGGGTGGTTTGTGATGATTTAAATAAGTGTACTTTTTGACTTTTTATGAAATATGTGCTGAGTTTGAAGTGATGTGGTAGAGAGGTGATGTGGCTTAAATAAGATGATGTAACTTAAATAGGATAGTGATTTTTTAGCTTTTTAACTTTTTTAGATTATGACAAATAAGGCCTTAGACCTCCCAAAAGGAGCAGCGGTAACTGCAATATCTTAAGGCACAACAGTACCCCTTCTTCCCTTTTTGGAATGGGAGGGAGGGTATGCGTATTAAACCAACCAAGCGCATGATAGAGAGCACCTAGACCTGTTTGGAAATTTAACTATTTTAATTTATTTTTTATTTTTACTATTTTAATATAGTTTAAAGAATTATATTTGAAATGATAATAGTAAAAAAAAAATAAAATGATTATAATTTATATGTGATATTTTATCTTATTAATTATTTTAACCTATTTTATTTTTATTATTAAGTTTTAATGATATTACTTATCCCTGGGGGTTAGGTCGGGTCGGGCTAACCCACGCTTCCAACACCATTCTCTGATCACTAAGCCCACCAAGGTACTTGCACAAATGCCTAGCGGGGGACGGGAGTCCCCCAGGGGACCCTCCGACGATCAAGTTAAAAGAGAGAGAGGTTAATGGCGAGCAGAGAGAGAATAATGATGGGGAACTTAATCTTTTTGTATCTTGGAAGCCTCCTTATATCCTTTGTTCATCATTTCCTTGTCCATTTCGACTTGTCATGTTGGCCGAAAGTCTATGCTCTAGCTTGTCTTGTTCATGTTGAGACTGCCTGTTCCGACGTAAAGGGGTTATTGTATTTAACGCTGTAGGGGCCTCATTAATGGCTGATATGTGGTGCAATAACTCTGTAGGATCATTGTCTGCTTACGTGGCTGGTTCTCCTCTTGACAAGTGTTTAGATGCATTGGTTCTTGGTGCAACGTTGGGTTTCAGTGGTGTTGGGCTTTAGTGCTTAAACCGTGAATTGGACTCTAAGTGATGAGCCAAAAGCCTCTATGGTCCCACCGATGTCAATAGTCTCCCATTTCCAAGTGTAGCTTCAGTCCAATGAAGGGAATAAGAAGGAAGACGGGGATTACGTGTGGCCGAGTGAGAGAAGGGTCGACTGTAAAAAGGGGACCGACCGAGAGAAGGCCGATCGCGAAAGGGGACTGGGCAAGAAGACCGACCAAGAGGAGGCCCGACAGCGAAAAGAGAGACCGAGCGAGAAGACCGACCAAGGAGGGCTGACAACGAAAAGAGGGACTGGGCGAGAAGATCGACCAAGAGGAAGGCCGACCGCGAAAGGGGGACCAAGCGAGAAGTGGTGACGGCGCATGGGGCTCGAGAAGCGGCGAGGCATGTGGTGATGTGCAGTGGAATAGACAGGAAAGAGGAAAGTAGTGATGAATTGTGGTTGTACACGTGGCATGATCCAGTGATAAGGGAGGTGATGCGTTAGCAAGAAGTGAAGGGTTAGGATTAATATAGGACGTGGAAAAGGCGAGGGTTGAAACTTTCAAAATTTTCAAACTGGCGAAATTTAATCTCAATCCTTGAAATATAGGCAAATTGTGGGCATTTAGACTGATTCGTTTTATATACCTCTTTGCGAGAAACCAACACATCCCAGAGTTGAACTCATTTGTTTTGTGTGACATGCCTTTCCAACACTTTGCGAACTTCCTTGAGCCAGCGTCCGAAGCAATACGCAGAAACGTAGAAGAGATGGCTCGAGATGAAGTGCCAGCCATGAGGCTAGAGGCACTAGGGGAAGACGATGCAGTGGAGTTGGCGGAACAATACAAAATAGAGAGGCGAGAGGAAAAAATGGCAGAGAAAGCGACGCGAGCAAGCTTATCTACGATGATCGTAGCCGCAATACCAATTAGCCAAGTGGAACCGGACCACTGGCACACCAAGGCCGACAAGTCAACGTTCACGGCGGAGAAGTTGGAGGAGGTACGAAGGAAGTACCAGATTCCAGCGGAGATAGAGTTGAAGTTGCCTATGTCTAAGGAGAGGGCGTCGGATGCACGACCGACGGAATTTACGTTGTACAAGGAAGCGTTGCGGGGGAGCTGAGGCTGCCGCTCCTCCAAATAGTGGTGGACGTGCTGAACCGACTGGAGGTCGCGCTAGGACAGCTGATGCCCAACGCATGGACAATATTAATGGCCTGCGTGATCACATGGCCACAAGCGACTGGGGAGGAAGCTATGACAGTGGAGGAATTCTTCTCTTACTACAAGGCCTCCGGCCAACAAGAAACATGGGTGATGTTACAAGCGGTGGCAAACCGAAGTGTAGTTTACCATCATCAGTGAAAGGGTGGAGACCGAGGTGGTTCTATGTGTTAGCAAATGGTGGAAGGGGGGTGCGCACAACGTGGAAAGTCCCCACGAAGTCGGCGGAGCCAAGGCTAGAAGCGGAGGCCGAGAATAGGGTAAAACGGGTTAAGGAGTGGAGGGAGAAGAAGGGTGTAAAGTGGGATGATCTTATCCGACCGTCAACCATGTTTGCCTTGAGTTTGGGGCCGCAGCCAACTGAGGAGGATCCTGCACGAGAGGAGTTGGAGGCAAGGAGAAAGGCACATGAGGCAGATGAGCGGAAAACGTTTCCGAATGCGGACAAGTAAAAGGAATAGCAGTTGGGGT